ATGCAACCTCCCCTCCCAGCACCCTCCACCCCCCATCAATCCCACCAAACAGCCCCTGCACTGCACTGGCCCACCACCACCACCTAGCAATACTGCACCAATGTCCACATATCCCAGCTCAACAGCGTCCCGACTGAACCCCCCACCCAAGAGCACCTCCCCTGCCCCTGAGAGCACCGTCAGCTCCCCTCCCAAGAACACCTCATTACTTCCTGATAATGCTCTTAGAGCCCCCAGCAGGTGGTGACAGCAGAGGAGTGCCCCATGCCACCTGAGAGCACCCACCTCCTGTACAACTGACAGCATCGCTGTGAGAACAGCCCTCTACCCCCATGAGAGTATCTTGCATAGTCCCTGCCCAAAAATACCTCACATGCATCCCACCTAAAAGTGCCTCCCGTATTCCCAGTGTCCCATATACCTGCCACCAACAGCAGTGCTCTGAGAGTTACTCTCCATGCCCCCCACCTTGACAGTGGCATCATGAGAGTGCCTGTCCCTTCCTGCAGAGCACCCCTGCTTGGCAGAACTGCTGCAAAAGTGCCCTTTCATATGCACTGGGATGGCTGGAGATGGACCCTAGTATAGGCTCCATCCATGCTGAGAGAGTGAGAGGGGTTCACTTAGGGCCTGTCAGGACAGCCCTGGCACATCATAAATTTCATGAACTGAGTTTTATTTTCATTCCATAATCTGTATTTCAGAAGATGTCTGACCTGCAGGAGCAGCAGCAGCAGCTTGGAATCATGGCCAAAATCCCTTGTGAAGTCAGGGGCCTAGCCAGAACTAGGTGCCCACTGTGCACAAAGCTCTTCTCATCCCCCAAAATTCTGCCTTGCCTACACACATTTTGCATGGCCTGCCTTGAGCAGTTGGAACCCTTTTCAGTGCTCAGCGTCCAGGGGGAGGACTCAGACTCTACCTCCGAGGGGTCATGGCTCCAAGATCATCGTCAGCCACCGCTCAGCATCCTTTGTCCCATCTGTGACACTGAGGTGGGTTTGCCACCAGGGGGCACTCATGACTTGACCACTGACCACCTGGCCATGAATGAGATGCTACAGGAAACCCTTCAGGCACCAGGCCCAGGAATTCTGTGTGACCTCTGTGTGGATGGGGAAGCCGTGAAGCACTGTCCCATCTGCAAAGCCAATCTCTGCCACTTCTGCTGCCAAGCTCACAGGTATGGGAGGAGGGAACAGAGGCACACAGCCCATATGTAACCATAGAACACAGGCATAGAACACTAGAACTGGAAGGGACCTCGCGAGGTCATTGAGTCCAGTCCCCAGCCCTCACGGCAGGACCGAGCCCCATCTAGACCATCCCTGATAGGTGTCTGTCTAACTTGCTCTTCAATATCTCCGGTGATGGAGATTCCACAATTTCACTAGGCAATTTATTCCAGTGTTTAACAACCCTGACAGGCAGGAAGTTTTTCCTAATGTCCAGCCTGACTCCATGTCAGTTTCTGGCCTTATACAATTATATACAGGGCTCGACAAATTATACAATCTACTCGCCTGTGCTGAGTAGATTGTAACCCGGAAGAGCCAGGTTCCGGCGATCTGCGCATGCACAGAACGATCTGCACATGCGCAGATTGCCGAACAGCGCGGCTGGTGAGCGGGGCTCGCCGCGGTTCGGTGAGCCCTGTTTATGACTATTCATATTTACACTGATTTGTTACAAGAAAGATAACTTCCCTACTGGACTTCAAAGCTAAATTCAGTGATGACCCTTAGCTGAAATTAATTCAGGTTTTTTCCCTTCATTAGCCTGAAAATGCTGTTAAACAACTGGGGTAGAACATGCTTCTGCTTCTGAAAGAGGTAAACCTTTTTACATTTACATTGATAATTAAATGTATTGATGAAGAAAGCAGTTGGAGACTATAGCAACTTACAAAGAAAACGGCAAACATTTCATTTTGAGCCAATCATTGCTTGCCATTTGTAAAGGTGACAGAACAGCATGCTTACGGGTGCAGGCACGAGGGTCTGAAATTGTTCTGAGGGGATCCTGGTAAAAGAAAGGCTTGCACTGATCGCAGTGTTGCCCCATGGTGGGAGAGAAAAGACCTCTGGCAGCCAGGAGGGGTCTGAAGGGAAGATAAAAGGCACCTGGCTGCTGGGGAAGGGGGAGATAAAAGGTCCCTGGTGGCTGGGGAGAGGGGCTGGGGGGGGAGAGAGAAGGGCTATGCCAGAATACTTTAAAGTGTCCTTTTGCACTACCAAGAATCAGTCCAGATTCTCTACTGCCTTGCCCACTTATTCCTGTGCAACAGTGTCTTGACTCCCAGTTGCCCTCCACTTTGTACGATCAGTTACACCAGGCCAAAGTGTTACCATTCTGCACGGGTAATATCTTAAACCCCGTTTGGTGGCACAAGATACTGGAAAGCAAAGTACTGAGACCCGGAATGGCACACTGATATAAATAACTATCCAGTAGAGAGTCTAGCCAAAGGGGCCCAATTCCCATCTCATCTACTGAGATCACTTTTACACTGAGGGCATTCCTTTAAAATCAGTGAAGCTGTTTCTGATCTATACTGGTGTGAGAGGAGCACTGGAGGAGGAGCACTGCATAGGGAGCCAATGGAAGGAGCACTGCATAGGGAGCCAATGGAATTTTGTGAAGATGGGCATGCAGTTGCCATGCTTTTTGGTGGATCGATGAGAGATTTCAGCAGAGGTGACGTCAAGGGAGAGGTGAGGTGAATTGTGAGGGATGTTAGGCAAATGGTGCAAAGCAGCTATGCAGGCATAACACAAGCAGGAGCAAGAGGAGTGTTCATACTGAGGAATGAGGCAAAAGTCTGAGAGTGCCATGCCATGTCTTGTGGCGACTTTGCATTGCTTGGGTGGTACAAAACAGCTCTAGAGCTATCCTACTGTCGCCTGGAATATTTCTCCTGCATTGGAGAATCCTTAGGTGGTATAGAACCATCTTTATATCTCCTACCTCTCCTCAGACAGTCATACCCTTTGTCTGTCTGTCCACTGCTACATGGCCTCTGGGGGCTGTTGGCAGCATAAAAATAGAATAACTTTGAGACAGCTTTGCCATATGCTTGGCACTGGCATGGCAGCTGGATGGTCCCACAAGCTTTGTGCCTGACCCCCACCTCAGCTGTGCTAAGGAGGAACAAGGCCTGTATCTAGAAGGGAGATGACATTTGGCTTTAAGAATATTTAGTATGTTACTACAGATCCTTATTTGGCTGTTGGCTGGACCTGATTTCCCATCTCCCTGCAGGGGTTTGCAAGTTTTTGTGTGAGTGACTAGAAGGCCGGACATCCCCTCATCCTCCACAGAAAAGGCAGTAGCTGAGCAAACTTACTTTATGGCACTGCCTGCTGACCCTCACCTGGTGGCACCTCCCCGCCCCCCGTCTTGCTACACTCATCACAGTGAGCTCTGGGGTCATTGCAGCTGGCCTGCTTCTGCCAGGTTGTCTGTGTGACAACCACCTCCTGGTGCCTGAATTACACACTGCCATTTGAGAACAGCATGCAGGGAGCCAGCGAACAACCTCTAGTTAGCAATAAAAGGGGGCAGGCTGCAGATGTCGTCTTCTTCTGTGTGGAGATGTCACCCAAGGAAGTGAAAGATCCCATTATTATCAACTGCTCTGTAGGAATCAGCAAATCCCCTGTTGGCAAGCCCAGGTTTCTCCCATATGCTTTCTCCCATATGCTTCCTTCTAGGAGACAGAAGAAAACAGCTTCCCATGCTGTGGTGGGCCTAGAGGACCCAAAGGGCTACAGCCAGACTGGGAAGCCCATCCTGTGTCCTTCCCACCCTTCAGAGGAGCTGACGCTGTTCTGCGAGCAGTGTGACCAGCCAGTGTGCCGGGACTGTGTGGTGGGCCAGCACCGTCAACATCCATATGACTTTGCTGCCAATGTCATCCACAAGCATGGGGATTCCATGCGGGAGCTCCTGAAGAGTACCCAGCTGCATGTGGGCACCCTGGAAGGGGCCCTGCGCCACATCGAAGGGGTCAGCAGTGCCATCTGCAGTCGTGTGGAGGCTGTGGCTGGGGAGATCCGCACATTTGCAGATGGATACATAAGGGCTATTGAAGAACATCGGAACCGGTTGCTGAAGCAGCTGGAAGACCTGAAGGTGCAGAAGGAGACCCTGTTGCACTTACAGAAGGTGCAGCTGGAGCAGCTGCTGATGGACATGCAGACTGGGGTGGAGTTCACTGAGCGCTTGCTGACCTGTGGCTCAGACCTGGAGATCCTTCTCATCAAAGGGGTGGTGGCGAACCGGCTGAGGAAGTTGAATAAAGTGGATTATAACATCCACCCTGGAGTGGAAGATGGGATCCAGTTCTCTCCCCGTGAGAAGGCTGGCCAATGCTGTGGCTATGCAGTTTTTGGGACCCTCCTCAATCGGACAGTTGATCCAGCCAAGTGTGTCCTGCAAGGGGAAGGTATGGGGAAAACTTGATTCTGTTTGACCAGTGCTAAAATAAAAGTGGGAGGGATTGAGGTGAACCCTAAAAGCCCATATTATAGATGTCACTGCTTAATTGAGCACTGCATAACCACCCTGGAGGCAGTCTTAGATACTGAAGACCATAGTTTATCTAGGACATAGGTACAGTGTGTGAAGTAGAAGGCCAAACTTCTTTCCTATTGTCTCTTGTCATTGTCCTTCATCTCTGAACTGCATAGACCACCTCTCTGGCTGAGCAAGTAGTTCAGTCTCCATGGTTATTCCTTTGCTGAAGCTGACCACAGGGGGGACCAATTAGTGCAGATTGTGTTATAGACAACTGCCCACTAAGACCTTTGTGAGACAGTCAGATGCATTTCATGCAGGCCCCTGAGCATCTGTCAGAGAGCAGCAACTTTGGGTTACACAGCCAAAGGTTTAAGAAGAAAAGTTCCTTGGCCTGTTCATCTGCTTCCGTATTGACTCAGATGGAAGTTTGGCCTGCCAAGATGACAGCTCCCAGAATGCAGTGCCCTGTGTTGATGTGAATAGACGGTCACACTGTGCAATGGGACATCATCCACAGCCCCCACCTCCATTTTAAAGATGGAGAAGTGGGCGGTCCTGCACCTTGGGCCGTGGTTAGGCTGTCCCTATACTTCACTGTACATCTCTAGTGTCACTGCTTTTTGAAAGAAGAAGTAACTTCTGTTACATTCCCTGAAGCAAACTGGTGATCCGTCCATGCGGGTAAGTCCAGGGTTGTGTTCCTTCGTCTAGGATCTCCTGACCTCTGAGCTATAACACATGAACTCTGTCAGGAAAAGGGAGGGAAAGAAGCATTGTTGTCATAGCCCTTTGCTATCAAAAAAACACTCCTGTGCAAGGCCAGCACCCTATAGCGGCAACTCACCCCAAGGCCAGCACCTATAGAGGCTGGATCTCTGCTGCAGCCTCTCCACACCAGCAGTGGCCCTATAGCCCTGGAAAACCAATGGGACCAGCCCTTAGAGAATGTCTCTGTCTCTGAAGGGGGGGGAGCATGTTGCTGTAGAGCCAGTGGAATGGTTATGTGTCCTGCCCTGCCCTGCCACGCACAAGGACGTTCTGGGGGTGTAGCTTGGTATAGGGACAAGGCTGGAGTAGTCCTTGCACTCTGACTCTCTTCGGCTGTCATGGTGTTCTCTTCGGAGCTAAGCCTAGATTAGAGCAGCCCTTCTGGGGACTGACGCAATCCCTGCCAGAGCTCACAAACCAAAGGACTGCAAAGGGGGTGCATGCAGCCCACTTCTGAGCTGCATCTGTGGGCCAGCCATTAGAAATGTGTTTGGTTCGACATTTCATGGCAGGGACTGGGACACCGCCACGATGGGGAACCTGGTAAAATCCTGGGGAGGTTGGGAGCTGGGAAGCTGCTGGCTGATGTCAAATGCGTCTCTTCCCAGTCCTGCTTGGAACCGTAAGGGACAGTTTGCCCTGCCTTTCAGGTCTCCACAGTGCCCGTCAGAATCAGCAGGCCAGCTTTACTCTGCTGTGTAAGGACACATCAGGAGAGCAGATGGGGAGAGGAGGAGAACCCGTCCGGGTCACTATCACCCACAAAGACAAGAAGGACTGGTTGGTACCATCCCTGGGATGGCCAGAGTGGTTTTGTTTGCCTTCTGTGTGGATTTAAAATCTCTGTTACAGACTCTCTCACCCCTTCTCTAGGTACCTCCAAGTCTGCATTCCCCTGCAAGTAAAGAACTTCCATGGGCAGGCCAGGATTTACAGGGAGACATGCAAAGCACCAATGAGCTGAGTACAGGCCTGAGGTTAAATATCACCTTGTGGGGAGATCTGCGCTAGGGATGTAATAGTGTAGTTGATTAACTGATAAGTAAAAGCTTATAGGTTAATGCTATAGACTACATGCATTTCCCTCCCTCCCCCTCTCCCTTGCCAGTACATTTTTTAGCAGGCTGGCCAGCAGCCCAGCTCAGTCCTGGCTTGCGCCAGATCTGGGACCTACCTCTGCTGGGGCTCTGCATTTAAAGTGTAGTAGGAGCCAGGCAGGCAGCCAAGCTCGGTTCTGGCTGACGCTGGGTCCAGGAGCTCAGGCCCCTCCCCTAAAAGGGGCTGCTGCCTCTGTATCAGAGGCAGCAGTGCTTAGTAGAAGGGGGCTCCTCAAGAGTGGGGTCAGAGCACTATGGCTGCTGCCCCCTCCCCCAGGACTGTAGAACAGTCAAGTTACCAATAAGAATTCATGATGTTAATCCACTATTCAAGTAACTGATATTTAACATCCCTAATCTACACCAAACTGTCACCTCATGATTTTATCACAAAATTTGGGTGTTTTTAAAGGCACAGTGGGTGTAAATTATTTTAATATGGCAGCATTTTACACCCTTTCCACACGGTGTCTGCACGTGATCCTGGGCCACGGAGAATGAGGACTTTTCTTTCTGTTAACACCTATGTAAATTAAATGAGTGATTAGCATTTTGTAGGATGCCTTTGTTAAATCATCAGCAATCCCAATCCGCCCAGCCACTGGGAGCTGCAAGGGCAGTGTTTGTGGGCATGTGCAGCACTTGGAGACCTGCTGCTTTCCCTCACACTAAGGGGCGAGCCCTGCAGAGAGACACATGCTGGCCCCAGCAGCTGGCCACTTTGAAATTGACAGGAGAGCCACCCACAGGGCTGCCACCCTGGGATGGGTGGGAGCTCCTCGCTCCAAGTCGAGATGCTACCCAGGCTCCCTGCTCAGCCAGGTTGCCCCAGGGATCCCAGCTTCCCATTCCCAGCCTGCCTGCTCACGTTGCCTCTCAAGTCAGTGGAGGTGCTCCTGGTGTGGTGCACTGCTGGCAGGAGGAGGATAGTGTGGACATGCCTCATGGTGACCAAACAATGTTGTAGCATAGACCTGCCCTGAGCAGTGACAGTGTTTTCATGAGGTAGGAAAGAGAAGATGATAGGCTGAAACATTACACCTGTCTTCCTCCCTCTGCTACCGTGTTTTCTGCTTCTCCTCTTGCAGTACTCATTGGGTTGTTGCAAATCATTGCAGTGTAACTGACTTTCTTTGGTCTCCTTCATATGATACCATGGCCTCTGACCGCAGGTAGGTGTGTGAAATCTACAGCACATTCATCATAATTCAGGGGGCTGTTACACATGGACATTTTAGATTCCTGAACTGGGGCATGGGGTAAGAACCTTCCTGTAAATCTAATCCACAAAGTGACACTGTGAGATCGGTTTTCTGTAAATTGCTGACCTGGCTTCCCTCCCTTTTTGTCTTTACAGTACAATCAAGCCCAGTGTGTGCGATAAGAGGGATGGGACTTATCACTTTTCCTACACCCCTGAGGAGCTGGGTGCATACACGATCTGCATCTGTGTCAAAGGACAGCATGTCCAGGTAGGCTTTCGACTCGCTGTCATTGTCGCCCAGGGCTCTCAACCTTCAGTGCACCATGACCGCCCTCTGATGACAAAAGTTACTGCACAGCCCCAGGATGGGGGGGGAGGGGGGTGTCACAGCCTGAGTCTGCCCAAGCCCTGCCGCCCCGGGCGAGGGGGCCAGAGCCCAAGCCCAAAAGCTTCTGCCCATGTGGGGAGCCTGCAGCCTGAACCCCACTGCCCAAGGGTGAAGCCAAAGCCTGAGCCTTGTGGCCTGGGGCTGAAGCCCTAGACAGCAGGACTCAGGCTTGGGCCTGGGCCCCAGCAAGCCTAATGCCAACCCTGGTGAGCCCATTAAAAGGTTGCCATGACCCACTTTGGGTCCTGCCCCACAGGCTTAGAACTTGCATAAGGGGTGGGGCACTAATTAGTGAAGCCCAATGAGCTATTCCCCTAGGCAAGCTCCGTACCTCTAGCGCCCTCTGCTCTAACCAGAGACCTATTATTCCATTGGTAGCCCATCCACATGCCCTATTCTTCCCAGTGGAGCTTGACTCCTGATCCCTTGCACCAGCTTTTTTCCCCAATTCCCACAGCACCTAGTTAAAATTCCCCCGCTGGTCTCCCCCAATAAAGGAGCTGCCTGCAGACTCCTGGAAAGCACCCCAGCCCAGCCCTACGAACCATGCTGCAGCCTGCTTGGGCCCCTCTAAGAAGTTCCATGATCCCCCTGCTGATCTATTGCACCTCTCTACTGAGGATTCCCCAGTTTGTCTCCTGCTGCCCACTCAGCCCTGTCGGGTTCCCTTCCTAACCTGTTATCACTGCCTTTTGCAAGGGGGTTTCCCAAAGGGATTTTGAAAGCTAAAGGAAGTGCTCATCAGTTCTCTTTTATGTGCTGTGTTGGCTGGCTCAAAATTCTAGTAGGCTGCAGAAGCTGGGTGTTGGTTTGTGGAAGCCATGTTGGCTTTTCCCATTCCCATCTTGTTCCTCTAGGGGATTTGGTTTTCAGATCAGGTTCACAGCTCTGTAACTGCTATCACCACCTCCTGGTCATGTTTTAAAATGTCAGTACCTTTGACCCCCTCCAGTGCCCAGGTGGAACAGCAACATGTGGTGGGCACACAACTCTGTCTTCTCTTGTGCCCTGCAGGGCTCGCCCTTCACTCTGACCGTGAAGAACAAATTCCGCAAACACCAGGGTGTGTTTCACTGCTGCTCATTCTGCTCCAGTGGAGGCCAGAAAGCCGCTCGCTGTGCTTGCGGTGGGACCATGCCAGGTGAGCACTAAGACCCAGATCCTCATAGATTCCAAGGTCAGAAGGGGCCATTGTGATAATCTCGTCTGACCTCCTGTATGGCACAGGCCATAGAACTTCCCCAACATACTTGCTAGAGCACATCTTTTAGGCACACATCCAGCCTAATGGCCCATGATGGAGACCACTGCAACACACTTGATAAACTGTCGTCATGGACCACAGGTCTTGCAACAGGGTTCTTAGGTGCCAATAAGTTCAGACATGCCAATCAGCAACTGCAAACAGTCACCAGCAGTAGAAGCTGAATTCTCACATAGGACTCCAGTTCTGGGATCTGACTAACTTCATGCTTGTATTTAAACCAAGCACAGGATCAGGAAGTTGTCCATGCAACTGGCATGGCTCCACTTAAACCTATTTCCTTTCTATTACCTGCTTCTGCTGCCTGACTCTGATCTCCTGGCAGCCAGATCTAATGCATCCAACAGCATCCGTGGCAATTGTGGGGAGGTCCTGGACAACTGGAAAAAGGCAAATGCAGTGTCCATCTTTAAAAAAAAGGGAAAAAGGAGAATCTAGGGACCTAGAGTTCAGTAAGTCTCACTTCAGTCCCTGGAAAAGTTATAGAGGAAGTCCTCAAGGAATCCATTTTGAAACACTCAGAGGTAAGGAAGTTGATCAGGAACAGTCAATATGGATTCATGAAGGGCAAGTCATGCCTGACTAATATGAGTACCTTTTCTGATGAGAAAACTGGCTCTGTGGATATGGGGAAGAGATGGATGTAATATAGGCTGATTTTAGCAAAGCTTTTGATACGGTCTCCCACAGTATTCTTGCCAAAAAGTTAAAGACGTATGGCTTGGATGAATGGACTAGAAGGCAGCATGGCAAAGCTCCAGCTATTCCCCATGAATCTCGTGCTACTGATGGGAAGTGTTAGCCTCAGAGGCTCGCTGTGGCCTCCACACTGCCTCTTTCTGTATGCTAAAGGCAGGAGTCCCTGTCAACTGAGCCAAATTCAACACAGGCTAGTTCATAAATTTGGTAGTGAACACCCCTCTGGAGTCCTAATCTCCTTTCTCGAGGCAGAGGTTAAGGGGAACCCAGGCCCACCCACTACTCTGGGTTCCAGCCCAGGGACCCTAAGGAAGGGTTACTGCCACTCACAATCTGGCAGCTTTTCCCTGAGCCACCTCCCCCATACAATCTCCCCAGCACCTTTCCTTTGGTACCTGCTCACCAGCCCTCTACCCACACACAGCACTTCCTATCCTCACTCTTTTCCTTCCCACTACCTTGCCTGGGGAGCTCTTTTATAGCAGCACCACAGGCCTTAATTGGCTGCAGGTGTCCAATTAGCCTGCAGCTCCTAGCAAGTTCCAATTGACCCCAGGTACCTGATTATGCTGAACTTAGGCTTATGCCCGTTTTTACTCAGAGAAGAGAGAGAGCTCCTTACTGAAGCTCCAGCATGTATTCCCTCCACCAGTGAAGGGCAGACAGCTGCTCTGGGTCTGTAATAGTGGACAGAAATCTGGCTAGATCATTGGGCTCAACAGGTAGTGATCAATGGCTCAATGTCTAGTTGGCAGCTGGTATTAAGTGGAGTGCCCCAGGAGTCAGTCCTTGAGCCGGTTTTGTTCAACATCTTCATTAATGATCTGGAGGAGGGGATGGGTTGCACCTTCAGCAAGTTCACAGGTGACACTAAGCTAGGGGGAGAGGTGGATGCACTAGAGGGCAGGGATAGGGTCCAGAGTGATCTAGACACATTGGAGGATTGGGCCAAAAGAAATCTGATGAGGTTCAACAAGAACATGAACAGAGTACTGCGCTTGGACTGAAGAATCCCATGCACTGCTACAGGCTAGGAATCAGTTGGCTAAGCAGCAGTTATGAAGAAAAGGACTGGGGATTATAGCAGACAAGAAGCTAGTTATGAGTCAATAGTGTGTCCTTGTTGCCAAGAAGACTAACGGCAAATGGGGCAGCATTAGTCAGAGTATTGCCAGTAGATTGAGGGAACTAATTATTTCCCTCTATTTGGCACTGGTGAGGTGACCTCTGGAGTATTGTGTCCAGACCCCCTCCCTCATTACAGAAAAGATGTGAACAAATTGGAGAGTCCAGCAGAGAGCAAGAAAAATAATGAGGGCCAAGGCACATGACTTATGAGGAGAGGCTGAGGGAACTAACTGGGCTTATTTAGTCTACAGACGAGACAAGTGGAGGGATTTGATAGCAGCCTTCTACCACCTGAAGAGGAGTTCCAATGGGGATGGAGCTAAACTAGTCTCAGTGCTGACAATGGTTTCAAGTTATAGTGGTGAGGTCTAGGTTGGATATTAGGAATAACTTTCATAGGAGGATGGCAAAGCACTGGAATGTGTTTGAGGTTTTTAAGTTCTGGCTTGACAAAGCCCTGCTGGGATGGTTTAGTTGTGGTTGGCTTGGACTACGTGGCCTCCTGAGGCCTCTTCCAGCCCTAATTTTCTGTGATTCTTGAGAATATTCTTCAGCTTTCAGTCATTTCATCAGAGCTGTTTTCTGTCTCCCTGCATGAGACTCATGTTTGTAAGGTTTGCCTGTTGTAAAAGTAGAAATGGTTTCTTCCATACCTGATCTGGAGCCAGCTCTGGCAGGAGCACACTCCTTGTCCGTGAGGACGGTACAACCTGGCCCGGTGTGGTTCAGGACGGCGAAGGCTCCCAATACATTGCAGGCGGTGTGAAGAACACGAACGAGGAGGCGTACATTTTTTCAACAGAGGGGGTTGTCACAGTTCTGCAGGGTTTGTGCTCCCCCCCTTTTAAATAGTCTCTTGGAGGAACGCCATCAGTGTGCCAGATCTCCAGGAGCCCACACTCTTCCTGAAAACTAGACTGTGCAGCCTCCTAGACTGAGCCTGTGGGCTGTAGCACTTCTGCTTCGCGCTGTAAGCTCTGCTCAGCAAGTCTGACGGAGATAGAGTTCTGGTACAGACTGGGGCACATTTCAGGGATTAATGCACTGCAGCAGTATTTGCAGTCCCACCCTAACAGCATTTTCAAAACTGCTTGGAATTTATTGGGCAGCTGGAACATAGCACTAGAAGTCCTTCCATCAACACAGAGCAATAAAGGTTTAAAGCATAATCCATTCTGGTCAAGCCAGAGCAGTTGACAAAGCAAGCTGTAGTGAACTCCATTGCCTGGCTGTCTCTCTCTTACTTCCTCAGTCAGTTCCACTAGAGCACTCCCAGCTTCTTCCAGGAAATACCTCTTTGTTCCCACTGGATGCATCTGTCCTTTGTTCTCCATTCAGGGCCATGCTCAGTTCACCGCTCTCCTGGCTAGCGCTTCCTGCAGTTGAGTGTTGAATCATGAGTCACTGGATCTTGCATTGTCTTTCTGGACCCCTTGTGGATCTGGGTCCATTACAGCCAGTGCCTTAATGACTGTATTCATTCCACACAGACAGGGCGGTGCATACCTATGTCTCTTAATTTGCCCTAAGAACAAACTAAATCCTCTTCTCGCCCCGCCTCTCAATTGGGAAGCAATGCAACATATGGGGGGAACCTGTGGCACACATAGGATACGTCTACACTGTGGGGGTTTTCTAGGATACCTCTGGTATCCTGGAAAAATGCCGCTGCATCCAGGGAATGCGTTTGCTCTTCTGCTTTTTCTTTTGTGGAAGTGCAAACATGCTCTTTTGGAAACCCTGTGTTCCTCATTCTATGAGATCTTCCAAAAGAGGGGGATTTTCTGAAATTTGGCCCAGTGGGCCAAATTTCGAAAAAGCCTCTTCTGAAAAAAAAATTGGAAAAAGCTACACAAAATGCGGAGTGCGTTTTGCATCGCTTTTCCTGAAAAATAGCTGAAGCGTAGACCTAGCCATAGGGTTCATGAAAATATTTTTTTAAATGCCAACTTTGTTGCAGAGTTAATTACTCATTGGAACAGTTTACCAAGGCCACGGTGGATTCTCTATCAATAGACAATTGTAAATGAAGAATGGAGGTTTGTCTAAAGACTTTGCTGTAGGATTATTTGGAGGAAGTTCTATGGCCTGTGTTATACAGGTCAGAGAGGATCACAATGGTCCCTTCTGGCCTGGGACTCTATGAATCTATTAATAATTTTTTGTTGGGGATTACTAGGGTGGGCCCCACATGTTTTGTCCCAGTTTGTTTGAAGGATTCTGGTCCTGCCAGCCAGCAGTGAAAGTAACTTAAAAGTTCTTACGGGTACTGCCCTGTTACCACCCGGGGCCCTGACAGCTCTTCAAACAGCTCCCTGCTGGCTTTTGCCACAGCTCAGCAAGCTCTTGCCAGAGTCATGCACCAGGGCGCACCTGCTTCCTTTCATCTCTGCTGGCAGCCCACAGCAGGAGTACTTCATTGTATGTGCAATGCCCCTCCCTAGCAGTCAGCCAGCTGTGGGTTGGGGGAACATGAAGAAATCACTGGCCGCTGGAATGGTCTCTAAGCTGTTTTCAGCAATGCTAATGGTATTTCTCTCTGTCCTTGTGATGGGTAGGTGGGTACCAAGGCTGTGGTCATGGTCACAAAGGTCACCCGGGCTGTCCTCACTGGTCCTGCTGTGGCAGAGCAGCTGAAAACTCTGAATGCCCTGCTGTGCCGCCTGGTGAGAACTCGCAGAGAGGCCTGCTCAAAACAGTGGCGCTCTGACTGGTGGAGAGTCTCCTGGAGCTTGCGGTGTCTCCACAGGCTGGGGCTAAGGCTTAACCCAACAGGAGTGCAGGGACCGGCACTCGGCACTCATTGGCGAGATCCAGGGCTGCTGTGAGGGCTGGGAAGGGAGAGGTGTTAAAATAAACATGTGCCTTACAGTCCATCCCGGGGTTGTGTGTGACAGGTTATTTCACGTGCCGTTGGGAGGAGCTCTAGGAGTCATGTCGCTGATTTCTGCACACTGAGGAGAGAGAGAAGTCACTCTCATCAGTCACTAAGCTCCATGCCCGGGAGAACAGGCTTGAAGTGGAGATATCAGCACACACACCTACCTCCTAGAGCCATGGCAAACTAGCCACACTCAACCGGCCAAATAGCCACATGTGGCCAGTGGCTAGCGTGTTGGTCACCACAGTCCTGGAAGGCCAAGACCAGTATTCCCTATAAGCTGGGTGCTTGTGCAGCTGCTCAGAAGAAATTCAAATGCTGTCCAGCTGATTAGCAGAGCGCCCATAGCTAGGCTTTGTGTTTCTATTTGTGGTGCATATCTGCACTTGCCTTGGTGCACATACAAATTTATTCCGCTCATGGGTGAAAAAAATTCTGCACATGGATGGAAAAGATGAGGTCAGTGTTCCCTTTCCCTGCTCCATTCTTAAAAGATGGTTACAATGAGGCCAAAGATGCTTCTTATGTCACATTCCAGAAGGGGTTCTGCAGCTGTTTAGGAAAGGCTTGGCAGATTATGTATTTCTTATGCCTCTCTGGCCAGCCCAGAGATAAAATCCCAGTTGCAGATTACAGTCAATCTCATACAGTAGATCTGGTATTTTGTAGGCGAGCTTTACTGTCCCTAGCATCTCCAGGTGTATGGCTTGAATCCCACAAAATGAAGCAGGATGGTGTAGAAAATATTTGGCAGAGGGGAATCCAAGGAAAATTCAAGGTGCTAGAGGAAGTGGCCTGGGTGGTTCTGGGCCAGACTGGATTTCCCAGTGTGACAATAAGAAACACTGCTGCTGGCGGTGAGCGGAGGTGCAGAAGTGCAGGCACGTGTTGCCTGTGTGCATTAGGGAGAACTGGGAGCAGCTTGCACTTTATAGAAAACTAGGATCAAATAGTGAGCCAGGCCTCAGGCTGACACCTTCCTGTTTCTTCTCCATCTACTCTCACTGGCAGAGTCTCATAAGAAAAGGCAGTTTCCTGTACACAAAGGGGTCTCACTGGCTTGATCTACACTTCCAGGAGTCAATCTAAGCTACACAACTTCAGCTCTGTGAATAATGTAGCTGAAGTAAATGTACTTAGATCTACTTACCAAGTTGTCTTCACCCTAGTGAGTCGATAGCTGATGCTCTCCCATCAACTCCACCTGCACTTCTCATTCCAGTGGAGCACCGGAGCTGATAGGAGAGCTCTCAGTGATCTATTTAGTGCCGTGGTCACCAACTGGTCGCTCGCGAGCTACTGGTCGATCTCGAGGCCTCGACCAGTCTCTCGCGAGGCATCCTGTCAGCCCCGCCCCCATTTCCCTCCCACCCCCCCAGAAGCCCTACTACTTACCTCCAGAGAAGACGGAGGTAGTGTCGGCTTCTGGCGGGGAGGGGGCGGTTGGCCCCGGGGCTTCCCGCCGCGGGGCGGGGTGGCGCTGGGACAAGCGCGTGCGGGGCTTCCCTGCGCGGGGGGGGGTCGGCCCCCTGGGGAGGGGCAAGCCAGAGACCT